AATGCTCTACATACCTAACTATTGAAATTCATAATATGTTAGTGGCTATTATGAATTTGCAATGTGACTATAGTGGCTCTATTAGGGTGGTTTTGATTAAATCGAGCTGCTCTATGTAACTTCAGTTTTGGAGTTTTCACTGCCATTTCCTTCTAAAATTATCCGCCCGTAGTCCTCTTTTGTTCTGCACCAGATGCACAGTATTACACATCGTTTTTATTTCAACAAATATAAATAATAAACATGATAAATAGAGCGTCAACCCTTCAATTGGTAATTTTGTTTACTCTAAACTATATCTTAGACTAACAACGTAAAATAGTATATGTAAGCAGAAGTCATTGAAATTGTGGTGTTCCATTCGGACAACATACAAAAATTTGAGAAGCATAAGAAAAAAAGAAAATTATGGAAGAGACTAGTGTTGGTCACAAAATCACAATCCAATGAAATAGAACCAAACTTTTTGGTTTTCGGCTATCATTCCGTTTCGGGCTACCAACTGTTCCGCATCTTCGATTTTGGTTATCGGTTCACCATCTCCGAATCGATAGATCTTTGGATTTCATATAGTTCTTCCTAAACACATACCGTAATTTTTTAGTATCCAACCAATTATTTTGAAAAATTATCGGATAACTGAACCAACCAAAACTCCCAATAAACAAATATTCCAAATTTTTAACAACATATACTGTATTTTCTGATTAACAAGAAACTAAGAACTGGTTATTAAATTCTTCTTTGTTTAAGTATCTATGATTTTTTTGTATGTCTCCTTAATTTATATTTAAGATTTTTCTGAAACATGTCTAAAAGGAGTGGTCAAAATCAATATGCAATCTAATTAGACGAAATTACGGGTTTCCGACCAATTAGTCCAACGATTTGGTCTGTTGGTTCGGGTTTATTTTCTTGTAGTGATATATTTTAGTTTAATTATTCTTTGATATAATTAAAAGAGGAGTCAGATTTAATTTAATATTTTAGGCAATCTCGACATGTCCAACATATATGATATGTTATATGGATAGAGAAGAATCATATGATCGACCATAACTCTTACGTATGCGTATGGTCTCAAGTGAATCCTAAGCGGCACCAAGGACCAAACTCCATTTCTCCCCCTCCCCCCGACCTCGACGGGTACTAACAGCAGCGCTGATTGGGTATGGTCAAGATCGGAGGGAAATAGTCGACTTTTTGGAGCCAAGAACCGACGGAGGCGCATTTCGTCTACGCATTTGAAACTGGTCCAAGTTTTTCTTAAATATTATAACTATTACTTCTTTGTATTTCTTTGTATGTCCATTACCTATTCTTATTTTTTGTATTTTATGTTTGTATTTTTACATTATGAATAGATATATAAACGAATACATTTATGACAGTTTTAAAACTTGCATGTGATCGCAACATAATGAAAAAAAACCTAGTTTCTTTTTTTTTTTGTTAGCATTTTTATTATATACAATGAAAATTGTTTAGGTTTTCTTCTCTTGTATTAGATTTACCATAAAATGTTTAAATAGAAACTATATATTGTTTTTTTTATCCTGCCCATGCACGATCCACGGATACAGTGTTACATAATCTTTAACAGAAAGTACATATTCGATAAAACCGTAACATATGACAAACAACGCATATAGATGAAAAACCACAGAAAACGTAAAACCTGCATATATATAATAGACGCATTTGAAGCTACAGTGAGATCAGTGACCAGGTTTGGGTGTGCCTTTGGAAGAGCTTAAGGTGCGC